CACCACCGCTCACGACCATAGAGATGAACAGCTATAGAAATCCTCTAAACATGCCTTCACATGCCTTTTGCGTTTGTAATGTTTCTTTTCAGCCTTCATTTAGAAATCGTCTTACTCACCACTTCAGTTCCGGTGCCATCACGTAGAAGGCCTTTTTTTGTGTTTTCTCAATGTAACCTCAGAATTCCAGGCTTATTGAAAATTTTATCGTAGATTGTATTGTTTTCCATTTAACTTTTAGCAAATGATAAAATGAAATAAATAAAGTCACGAATCAGGGATAAAAGAATATTTTCTTTCGGCTACAAGGTATCATGAAGAGAACTTTTAGCAATTTTTTCTAAATGATGATGCGTCCTTTAAATCCCTGAAGTGGAAGCTTGCAATACTTTTTAATTGATGATTTTGTATCTTGGCAAAATAGTATTATTCTTATCAATTCTTCTGAATCTTCGTGTTTCAGCATTAATTTCGAATGAGGACGAGAATGAAGTCACAAATCACTATGACACTTAGTGGGAACTAATGAACTCAGCAAATTAAATTTGTCACAAACTTATTCTATCGGATAATTTGCAATATTTCAATAGCTCAAAATAGTCTCACATAAATATGAATGATACGAACAATCAAGTACACACATAGGAATTTCTCTATGAGTTCAATTCTCGATCGAATATCTGTCCGATCCGGCATCGACTGTGTGATGAAAATCGTAAAAAACCTCCAAATAATCAGTAGCACTGTCTCGAATAACACGAGAGTCGCTACAAAACCTGCAATGTTTACATATTTAGCGATGCAGGTGTGAGAAGATCCCAAAATTGTATACCAATCGTCGGCATCTTTGTGTAATCAGGAGGCAGGTTTTCCATAAGAATAGCACCGTTCATTATTTGAACAGCTAAGCAAAGAAGTAGCCAGATCAATCCGTGATGGGACTGTAGGAGGCAGAAAGCATAGGTAAGGCTGTAATTTTTTGGATGAGTTAATTTTCAGACAATATAAGCATAGCGGAGAAAAGACAATGTTTCAACTGGTGGGTTATGACGGGAATAGCGATAAAGACATTGCTACGATGGGCGCTTTATGTTGGTGGCTCAATCAACCATTTTCACGTGATAATTATGTCCACTATTGCGCAGGAAAATTCTTCTTCACATCTAAGGGGCAAAAAAAAAGATTCTGTTGAGCGTGCCACAGTCAACCACATCCACCACTTGTCAGATTTCAAAATTAACTCAAACTGGTCCACGTCTC